ACCTAATAGACAACAATGGATTTATTTTGGTGTCTGAAGACTATAGGCAGGTAAGTGAAAGATTTTTCTTCAGTCTTTTCACGTAACACATTCATCTAAAAGTACTTATTTCTTAAATAGGCCACCATCTGAAAATGGTAAGGAATCAGTAACATAAAATTAAAAAAATTCCTTCTACAAGGAATGTAAATTGTTTTTCACAGGAGCTCAATTTCTGTCTCCCATTGGGGCAGGGTCTGCTCCTAAACTCATAAATGTTCTCTTAAAGGCCTTTTTGCTGCAGAAGTGTCTGTCGTCTGTGAAATGCTTTTACCCCCAAAAAAACCCCCAGATTCTCTGTGGCATTTTTGTCACATGGAAAGGCTGGGAAGGGAGGGAGGGAGGGTTCGGGGGGGGTTGGATACAGAGCTTTTACATTCAGACTTGAGATAATGAGATTTTACAGAGCTGTTATTTGAGGAGTTTGTTTTCTGAAGTGGATTACAGACATTGAAGGATTAAAACTAAGCACTCAGCATCACAACAGAGAGGACAGGGAGCATGATTAATAAGAAGATCAATTTGCTTGTTCTTCTTGGGAAATTATTGAAAAATTAATGTATGATCACTCGATCCTGCAAACCTTATGAAGGAACCATCACCATTCTCATTAACTTTTGCCTGAAAACAGCTGGGATGGTGCTCCAATTATTCCAAAATTGTCTGAAGTTGAATTTCTTTTATGTGTTGGAATTGTGAATAGGAATATTCACACTCCTGTTTAGCCCTCAGGTGAATTAAATCTGTTATAACTGGGTTGGTTAGTGAGAAACAGCTTTTGGAAAGACCTCTGGGAAACTTGGAAGTGTCTATACAGGAGATAAAAACTCGAAGTGAATGGCAAAAAAAGAAGCTAAACTGAGCATTTTGCTTTTAAATTAAAGGCTTAAATTATTGTAACCTTAAATCTGACACTTCTGGAAGTAACAAGATAGATATATTTTTGCCTTTGAATAGCACAGAAATAATTGCCTCTTTCCTTGTGAACCCTCTCTCCCTTGCTCCATTTTGGTTGGGACTTCGAAAATTGTATTAGCACATAATAAATAAGAGAATGGCAATTTTTCTGAAACTGTTGTCCTTCCAACAGAGCATTAACTGTTAAACATACTGCACTGTGTCATGCCGTAGTCATTCTTCATGGTATGTCCTCTTGTATGTAAAACTGAGAACTGACATGGATTATTTTGTTTAAACCTATTAAATTTATTGCTTCTATCCTTTTAGAATGTCAAGCATGTTCTGAATATAATTCCAGGATGTATAAAAAAATTATAAGCTAAAAATACAGCATTGCTTAAATATTAACTGAATTATGTTTGAGGCAGGTTTTTGTCTGGGTGGGTTTTTTTTACCTTTTATCTATTAAATATATATTTTCTGTTTAGTTGAGCATGATCTAAGAAATACAGCCATTACAGAATAATCTTGATACATTTAAAACATATTTGTTTCATTATTCCCCCTTTTGTTGTTGTTACTGTTTACAGGTAAATAGTTGTGACTTGTGTAAGCGATTTGCAAGTTTATAGTTGGCTATGGCCAATAAATATTGGGAAGAAATGTTTCCTTTGGTAGTCACCTGATAGCAACCATTACATATTCCTGTGAAGGGTATAGAGTGGACAACTGTTGGGCCGGAACTAGGGCTAGAAATGGGTTATGACCTAGTTTTGTAGTTACTGTGAATCTAAGATGGACAGCAGAGTTGTGTCTATGTTTATATAACACTATTACAAGATTACAATGGTATGTGTTTATTTTTGTATGTGTGTATACAGTCTATATTGTGGATAGAGAAGGGGTAGGGAAGTGGGATGATGCCTTATCAATGATTTGCCTGTCTGGGGTTGCTTCAGCCCTGCTTTTCTATGGACTTTCAAAACATGTCCAGAACTGCTCCAAGAATCATGTTTGTGGGGCAGTGTAATTCTTCATCTGAATTGCAACTAAATCCTAATGTATTAAAAAAATAAGGATAACCTGTGTGTTACTGCTTTGGGGGAGAACTAGCACTTCCAAACAGAGCTTTTATGGAAAGAACTGTCACTGAAATGTCTTCATAAGACTGGTGCACAACTTGATAAATCAGGTTTATTACTATCTAAGGTTGTAACCAGGCATTTATGGTTTAGGGGTTTTTGACATTGACTGCCTCTCCAATAGTTAGGATAATCTTTCTTCATCAGTCAGCTAGGGTTATTGAAGCTAGTATTTTCAGTCATGTTCCTCGTGTTTCTAGGAGATTTTACATACCCATATGTTTTGGAAAATGTTCCAAGATTCCCCTGAGGAAAAAAAAAAAAGGCAATACTTGCTTTTTAGGTGGAGGAATGCCTTTTTTTAGCTAGGGCTGTAACTTTTCTGCCTGCAAACTCCCAGGTGCATACTTGAGGTCAGCTAAGTTCCTTGTAATGGAATTGAGGTTTAGTTCATACAAAACCTATGGAATCCATGCAATTTGAGAGTGTACTGCCCTTTCCCCCTCATAAATTGTGGGATTTCTCCCTTTAAACAATGAAGAGAAATGTCCAGTTCTTCTGGGAGCTGGGACTCTAAAATAAAACAGGTCTTCCCAAGGTAGAAAAAATGTTGTACATGCAAGATTTTCCACTGTCATATGAATGGCTGCAGATGACAGAGTCACTTCCATACTACATACCAAATTCATAACATGAATGTTTGTTTTCTCAATAGAGATTTATTTTTATTAGTCCACAAGTACTGAACAAGGACAAAATGAGTAATTCATCAGTCTGAGTGGTTTTAAGTATGAAATGACTCTGAAAGGAGTTAAAATTTATAGGATTGATGAAATATACTGTTCCAGCTCCTTAAACAGGTCATGCAGGAATTATAAACAACGCTTTTTAATGACTGTTTATGAAATCCTCTCACAACCTGTTTATATCTTTTCTGAGTAACATTTTAATCACAAGGGTTTGTGATCAGATTAGAGTGTTTTCTTTACAAGCTTTAGGTTTGGATGGCTTTTATTTCTGACATTAGAAGTTATATAATGTACCTCAATACATTGTTTAAGCTCTCACATCTGCTCAGGGGTAATAATGTAATCCCAACCACTTGCCCTGACTATGAAGTCCCCATCAGTTTTTATGTAGCAGTAGTCCTGGAAACCTGTCTATGTAACTGTCAAAGCCACTCTTGTCAGATCCTGGATTATGCCAGTTTAAATTGACCCCAATGTTGTTTTGTGTTTATCTACACTTTTGGTAATTTCTTGCATTTTCCCTTTACAGACTGGTTACTTTTTTGGGGAGGTTGAAGGGGCTGTGATGAACAAGTTATTAACAATGGGCTCCTTTAAGAGGTAAGATTTTTCTATCTCTTAAAATATATTTTAACAACAAAAGGAAACAAAACTAAATCGAAGTCATACAAAAAAAAGCCAAGATGGGCAGTGTGGCTGGATTCTCATTTATGTCTCTTTTCTGTATGATCTGAGTGTAACTCAATACCATGCACGTTGAATGTTGAGAGCATTGGAGTCAGCCTACAGTGAGTTTCTTTTTGAAAAAACAGACTACAATGCTAAAACTCTGTGCCTCTCCTGTTCCCACTGCACTCAAGTGGAAAAGGGACCAGGCCATATCTACTACCAAACAGTTTTAAATGGCTCTTAAACGAATCATTGATGCCACATTACCATTTTGACCTGTAAAAAGTTGGAGATTGCTCAAACTAGACAGTGCAAAATGCCCTGCTGTTAAAGGGAAAGTGTGTTCTCCCAGTAATCCATCTTCATTCACATGCTAACTTACCTCTGAACATTGTTGTGACTACTGACCTGGTCTTACTCTCATGATGACAATACAAACTAATAGTGACTTTATGTGTTGTCCTTTGAAATAAATTATGCATTCTGGGAAATTAAGAAGAAACTTTTCCCTTTAACCTGTAACTCAGCACTGGAGTATTCATGGCTTTCACGTGGTCTAAAAATGTTCCATACCCCTTTGTCCTATTACAGCACGGGAGAAGTGCTGACAATATATATTACACTTTTCCCTTTTATTTTCCTGTATGTTTCTAGTATAAAAGGACAGACACATCACTGATCCCATCACTCACTGAATGTAGCTATTACATGTGAGGGTGTATACAGAGGCTCTCAGAACAGATGGTATGTGTGCTTGCGTGGTAAACCAGCTCTCCTAAAGGCAGAAATCTTTCCGTGCTGCCTCTGTGCGTTACAGCTGAATACCACTCCCAGTAAATGACTGACCTGAAATGTGCAGATAGCATTCATGGAATCATCCTAAATCCTAGTTTTCTGAGGGTGGCAACCTTTTTGTGTTTAGCAGCACATTCTTAACATATGCTGTAGGAGGAAGTGAAGTAAAACATATTTATAGACTGGGTTGGATGATGAAAAGATCTGTTTATACAAGAGATGAAGCCATTTATTTAACGCAAAGAAAAACATACAGTCAAAACTAAAGGATAATACTTTAATTTGTCCCAATTTGTTTTGTCTTGCCCAGCAAAGCATTTCAAACAGAATATGTAGTCAATGACCGATGGTAGTGGGCACTGAGAACACAGACTGCATGGCTCGAGAGTTCCATCTCAGCTGCAGTGGGCACCTCTTTGAACTGGACCATTGGCTTCTGATTTTACTGGTCTTGAACTCCAAGGCAGTCAGAGATAATGAAGGCACAAGCTCAGTGCAACTGAGCTGTGTACTAGAGAAAATGTAAACACAATGAGCCGATTATTTAAACATAGTAAACTGACCATTGCCAATCAGTTAAAGATGGGAGAGAATCAAAGTGGTGTAATTGTGCTAAATGACCATCATGCTGTACAGCACATAGCTCTGTGCAGCAAGAAAAACATCCAAACCAGACTGTCTTTGAGCTGTGCTGGATGAGACCTTGAAAATAATTGTTCCAGCAGTCCGAAGAAGAAATCTTTACTGGCTCTCAGGTAAAAGAGCCAGATGCATTTACCATATTTTTAAGATTACTAATTTGTTTGGATGGGGTAGTGTTTTGCTATTCCAAACTTTTTTGTATATGAAATAAGAAGAAAAGAAAAAGAGTGCTTGATGCAGTGGCAAAATCTTTTACCAGTACCACTTCCCTGAGAGCACAATGTGGATATTGCATGCATTATACTTGTCATTGCTGCTCTTACCATGTAGGCAAAATCAGAGAGCAAACTCTGTTCATTAACATTTCATTCTGATAATATACACAGCCATCCTTCCTTCCAGTTTGTGTTTTACATGGCACATACTGTCCAGCAGGTGAATTGTATAATGCTGCACTTTTTGACCTGGTCTTGCTCCCTTTTTGATTAGTTCAGAAATAGAAGGTTCTGTGGTGCCTGATAACTGCACAAGTTTGCTAACCTTGGGGATGGGAGTCCTCTCTTCCTTTGGCACCAATGATATGTCAAAGGAATGGCAGTGCTGATATATGCTCCCACTTCACTGATTCCTGCCAGCTTCCAGGCTCTCCCTCCACAAAAGGAATGAAATAACCCTTTGTCCATTCTCCCAACTACCACTCATTTGGAGTGATATAGAAGTTCTTTTTAGGACTGTGTTGGAAGTGCTAAACAAAAGGGGTTTGTTTGCTGCTGACTGTGTTTCTTTTCAACCTGCAGCAGGATGAAATTCAATTTTTGTGTTCCCTGTTTATTTTTTAAAGTGAGCTTAAATACCTCCTTCCCTCCTCAATTTCTTTAAACTCAGTGCTTCTTTTGAATAATGTGTACATATGTATGTATGTATGTATATTTTCTTAGTTTATGGGTTTTATAATTAGGGAGAAAAATTATATCAGTGCCTCCACAGCAACGTGACATGCTCTATGATTTCATTTAGCAAAATTATGTTTATCTTATACCTTAAGTATAGCACACAATTAAATAATTTAAATATGATTTAAATTTATTATTAAATAAATTAGAATGTGCTTATGGAAAAGTATCTGCTTCGCATAACTTAGAAAAGTTCTTTTATAATTTCCTCGGCACTTTGTTTATACAAAAACAGTGAAAAAAAATAGAAAAATTCAACAGTTCCAAGCATGAAAATCTGAAAAACCCACATTAACATCAGGAAAATTAAGGGCTATCAAAGCAGTAAGATCCCCAAAGAAATAAACATAATAAATCTGTAAGAGAAAATTAAACATCTCTTGACTTCAAAACACTTTCACCATTTCCAGTAGGAGGAAAATGAAGCAATTCTCTAAGACAAATATGGAAGCAGCATCATTTCCTTTTGCAGTTCTCTTTCCACCAGACATCCTCTTGGCCTCTGAAGAAGAATCCATGCTTTGCTATTTAATTCTGTTGTCAGGATACATGAATGAAATGGCATACCCCTGAAATCCAGCTTTCCTGGATGCCAAGGCTCACTCAGTTAAGTTCTTGTTGCTTTGAGAGCTTCTCTTGTTTCTCAGCTTTTCTTGCTCTGTTCCTTTCTCTTTCCTCACATGCTTCTTAGTGAGGAACATGCATCCTGTCTGTGCCCTTGGGCATGATGCTGTCCAGATCCTTCTCCTGTGCTCTCCAAATGCTTGCACATAGAGGCAGACTTTCATCTCCTTGTCTTGATTTGCTTTATAAGCAAAATACAGTACTGGTTTTGCCTCAAGGTTATGAGTATTAAAAAAAAAAAAAAAAAAAATCACAATTTTTCACGAAGCTACTTGTAAGAAGGAGAACATTCTCAAAGCCAAGTCCCAAGAACAGTAAGTAGTTGCTCACCAGTGGACCCCAGCTTCCACTGAGGCAGCACAACTTCCAACTGAAGGATGTTTTTACTGTTTTTTAGGCCACTCTTTCTTATTTAAGCATTTGTTTTATTAAGATGTGCTTAAATTTTTGGTGAAGATGGATAATGGTGAAATGGATAATCGCATTTAAAATGTGTGTTTATGTGGATTTATACAGTCATCAATTTGGCCTTCTATTAGTTGGGCAACATTTCTTTGTGTAGATGTATACTTTGGAGAAGATCAGTGACAGACTACAGGGACTATCCAAATTAGAGTTATGGGATTTGCTACTGGATAAGTGCAACTGTGATGTAGTGGTTCTGCAGTGTGCTTTATTATTCTTACACAGTATACAAAACCCACCAAATCTTCAACAAAACATTTGAAATGTTATGCACTGAAGGTCTTTCAGCTCTTACAATTGTCAGTGATGGTATTTTACATTAGTAAATCCATAGGTGTGCTGAAAATCTAGCTCAAAACAATAGAGTACATCTGTTAGTATATCCTGTGCTGCTGGTAGGTCTTGGAAGTTTAATTTTCTTGAACCAGATTTGTACTCAACTGCAAGTACATAGCAAAGTAGGGGACTGGAATTTACTGTGTCAGGTATTGGACAATAAAAGGGTTTTCCCTAAAATGTATTTGGCCCATGAAGTTACATAAAACAGTGATGCACATTTAGGTTTTGGTTAGTTAAAGATGATGGTTCATTGTGTTTGTCCTACAAATTATGTTAAAAACAGTTGCTCTGTGGATGTCAGGGGTGGAAATTGACAGTATGGTGACGTCAGACAGGCTCAGGTATGTCATGTGGTACAAGAGCAAAGCTCCCCTTGAGGTGCTGTAACACAGGACATGGACTTGGGCATCTAAATGGACCGGCTATAGTGAGTTGAACAGGATATGGTTAGTTGCAAATAGTTCTTTAAAACTGAAATACAATCAGCTCAGAAAGGGTGATCAGGAAGCCTTTCTTTCTGCAACACTGGGTTAAGTCTGTCAGAGTGAGAAGAAAGCCTATTTTCTAAAATCTCAGAAAGACATTAGCAGTAAAATAACATTCTGGAAATGTTAAAAGACACTGCAATGTCTTAGGCCACTACTTTGACCACAAATACTGCAGTAGCTTTTATAAGGAATAGTGCTGGAAAACTTTTACTTTCCTATTACATTTATAAGAATAAAACCAAAACAACTGGATTTGAATTTGTGAATGACTTGGAACCCAAATATACTGAACTTTAATACCATTCATAGAGAATCGAGAATTGGTTCAATATGTTGCAGTATTCAGATTGCAACGTGGTTATGGGATTCATCCACTGATCTGTGAATTGTGTTACAAAATTCCCATTTGTTTCTAGCATAAAACAGTCAGGTCTTTTAATATCATTTCACAGTAAGAGTTTCACTGATTTATTTTGCACATTCTATGTTATAGTTGTTTGATTCATCTTTAGAAACTTTGAGGTAGCTGTTGCACCTGCCCTCTTTGAAAGTTACTAAGATGGGAATACATTGTTCTAGAACAAAAACTCATTCCAGGCTTTTGTTCAGAAATCTGTCTGCCATGTACCTTTTTAAGAGTTTGCTCCTTTTTTTTTTTTTTTTCTCTCTCTGGGCACATTATCTGTTCTCTCTCATTTGTTCCTGAAGCAGAATCTTCACACTGGAAACACCTTCAAATATATTTACTCAAACTAAACTCATCTAACTAAAACTAATATCATTCACAGGTGATATTCAAGCCTTTCCAAATAACAATTCTTTAGTATTTCACAATCTTAGATTGTCATATACTCCCTAAAATACAATAAGACAATCTACAAAACATATAATCTAACATTTTGGGGTACAGTATTAATTATATTTCCAATTATTTGTGTGAGTACATATTTCAGTCTTTTAAAAACTTTTTATCTTTGAGCATCTAAAGAAATTATTACATCTATTAGAATGTAATAATTACATAAGAAATGTAATACAAGTATAAATACTGGTGGGGGAAAGGCTTTTATCAATATTTAAAGTTAAGTTCAAATTATAATAGATGTTTCACATGGCACATTATAATAATATTTGATTAACACTGCTTAGCAGAATAATGAAATCCACAAATTGACCAAACAACTCTGGTGTATGAGACTGACACTTGAGACATTGATTATACTTGCAAAAATGAAACAGTCATCAAATTTAATTGATATATTGCAAATACTTTTACAATGAATGCACACAAATCAATGCCTTCTATTTGTAATACTAGATATTCAATGAGGCAGAATGGGACCATTTCATCCGTACAGAATTTCTTGACTACTCTGCAGAGAGCACATTGACATCTGTAGAACTGCCCTTGCCTGTGCACTTATCACTTACCACCATCACTAGGTGGTCCAAAGGGACATGCAGTACAGTCCTTGGAGCTAGAGGAACAAAATACTCGAGCCAGCCAAGGCTGGAAAGGCTGAGCTGTAGAGATTTACTGGATTCTGACCATGGTTAAAGAGGGAAAAAAATTAAGGAAAATAAAAAAAAAAACTAGGGAAAGTGGTGTATTACTGCATGCCACACAGGCAGCACAGCTTACACCATGTACTGCTCTGTTTGTCTTGGCAGATCTGTGTGCGCGGATCTGGCTGTGGGCGTGATTCTGCCAAAGATGGTCAGTGTTCAACTTACACCCATGTTTAGGTCTCTAGTTATGCGTTTGTCTACCATGTGCCTCTCTCTGCCAGTCCACAAAACAATGGCTTCCTAGGCATTTCTATTCTCGGTATAAGAGAAAATGAATAATGTAAGCACTATGACCATGTACTAAATGTTTAGTTGAAGCTGCGAGACCCAACATATGAGATATTTTACCTGTAAGCCAAAAAGAAAATATAGACAAAATAAAGAAGGTTTAAGTAATGGTTGCTGTCACAAAATCAGATCACAAAAAAACCCCCAAACCAAGCAACGGTTTCTGCCACAATGGAATACATTTTATTGGTACAGGTTGCAATGTTTCATGGCATGCAGTGCAGAATACCTCATGGTGATGCTGATTGCATTTCATGACCTGGTTTTGGCAGCTTCTGGGACATCCTTTCCATGGCTGAATTTGTGTGCTCTCCTTTCCTCTTCACTTAGAAGCAAAGCACACATTGCAAAACATTGAAGTCCCACCTCATACATCTATTAACCATCTCTGTCCAGTTGCGTTCCTTTGTCCCTCTGATGATGCAAAAGTCAAATGGATATGTTCAAATAACACTAGTGACTTTTATATATTTACACTTGTTGCAAATTACCAGCTAAAGATTCTTTACATCTGCTTATAGATGCTAAGTGCTTTTTTATGTGGATGGATATAGTTAATTGATTGTTCTATGGACAGACAGATTTAGAGAAGTAATCACAATAATTCCATATACTAGCTCTGAGTTCTGGATTTTACATTTAGATCTGTGAAGTGTTTCAATGATGAGTCAAATTGCAAGCATAAATAAATTTCCCTATATTTACTATGCATCTGAGGAGGCTTCTAGCATATGTTGATTACAACAGGTACTTGACATGGAATATTTTGCCCTTATGAAAAGAAGCAAAGGTACACCCATCCTGCTTCAATTATCTGTACCATGAATGCACTGACATTCCACCTCACCCTCCTTCAGAATCGATGACATTTCACAAATTAACTGTGCACTGAGATGCTGTAACTGTACAAGTGCCTTTTTGCTTTTACTGGAGTTCCAAGTGTGGTCTGTGGTGAGCAGCCCCTCAAATGCATAGGCTCTTTCACTCTCTGGGGCTAAATGTGCTGATCTTAGTCCAGAACCAATTGTTTAAGCATTGTGTTGAATGTGTATTATCCTCCTTCTCTTCACATTGTTTATACCATTGTGTGTTACACTGTATGTGTATCTTCCCTGGTTTCTTCCAGTTCTGCTTTTGCTTTGTTTTGTAGTCTGATAAAACCCTTACAAAGTTTTCACAGAATTTCTTATCTTTATGCTCCTTTGTGTAACCTGTATTTTAATGATCCCATTCCCTCTTTCCCCTGCTACTGTTACAATTTTTATTTTCCTTTCCACTCCGTGAGCAGACTGCTCCATATCATCATTTTTATCCCACCGAGTTTTCTTCTTTTAGTCAAGCAGTTTTCTGTTCTTCTCTGTAGAATTACACTTTATGACTACCAAGCCATGTGTAGAACAAACAAAGAGAGTAGCGACAGTGCCCATAGCTTGCTGGATGTAAGTATAGCACATTTTCTGAGCATCTTTCCATGCAGCCATCAAAGAAAATTGTTGCAAATATCTCATGGCCATTACAAGCCCCTTATTTTGATTTGGAATGCTTACAGCTCTTGGGTTTATCCAAGTGCTTTCAAGGGATGGTTCATTATAAACAAATGCAAAGTGTTAAGCATTTTCGAGTTCAAATACTCACACAATCATTTTAATGCTGGGCCATAATTTCTGAGGTTCTGTCAGGAGGTTCTTTACACCATATGAATCTACCTTCTTAGGAATTTGTGAATTTTTCAGTAGATGGTGCTTTGTCTGGGGGACTGGAATCGCATATGCCTTTCCTGTATGTAAACAAGGAGTTCAAATTAAAAACTGAGGGTTTTTTTTTTTTTATATGAAAGGATTGGTTCATTGGAAAGTCATGCAAATCAGTGGTTTTAACATTTTTTTCTTCCTTAGTATTTAAAAATGTTTTTTAAAGTAAAATTTCAGTGCTTTTAAACCTTTGTCTTGCAATCTGGATACAAACCCTGACCCTCTGCAAGGCCTGATTAGAATCAAGCTGAGTCTTGCAAGGGCAACACTTCCTTGTTGCTAAATCCTATATCTAGGTTATAACCCCAAGGGTATTCTATAATCATGCATCCGTCTCACTGATTGCTGTAATAATCTATCAGGGCAGAAGCAAAATATTTTACTAGTCTGGAAAAGTTATCTAATAGTATTTTTAAATGCACAGGGATATAGCTAGAAAAAGATAAGCCTATGCATAGTTAAACTGTTGAATAAATATCAAATTCTGGCAACCTCCAAATAAATATACATATAGATGCTATTGTTTAAAAACTGCATTTTGGGGTGTTTTCATTTACATGTTTATATGATTCTGTTTTCTAAATACCTGCAAATTTGGACTTTATCAGTATTTTAATCATCAAAGTCTGAATCTGAAAAAAAAGACCCTCTTGACATAATAATAAATCCTGCACAGTGCCATGAGACCTAAATTATCAGTGAATAGAACGTGATGCTGTGAAGCACATTTGCATGAAATATCCTAAAACGTACTACAACTCTTAGCAAAATCCTTCCATCCTAAGGCTCGGGGCTTCAGCTCAGTTTGCATGAGCACTCAGCAAACTGAAGTATTTATCTCTTAAAAGTGGGCTCTAACTAAATATGTATTGCTCATAAGTAATAATGAGTATATTGTTTTATATTAAATCATTTGGCATTATGAAAACAAAAGTATACAGCAAAGTTAGTTACTTGGGCATGAAATGTCAGGTTTTCTGATTTGAAGTAAAAATAAATAAGATGTCCCATAGGGCTAAAATTGTGGGAGGTTTTCAAGGAAAGTCTTGCAACTCCTCATCTTTTTCTATAAGACAGTGTGAAAATCTTTCCTGTCTCAGGCATTTTAAGTTCTGCTGGGCCTCTTATGAGACACAAGTTTGTTGCTCTGTGAGTTCTCAACCCTTCATGGAAACACTCTCTGTGGCCCTTGAAAATTTTAAGTGGTCTGTTAGTGCTCACCAAAACAGCACTGCTTCAGAGAGTGCTGGCTCAGGACGGTTAAGAATTACTTTAGATATCTGAGTAGTTCTGTTAATATGACTTTGTATGTGCCAAAATGCTCTGTTGATATCTAAAAGAGTCTGCAGAACTTTATTCAACTAGGACACCCTAATAGGGATGAGGGAGACAAGGAAAGATTCCTCTCCAAATTTCTGGAAACGGACTTTTCACAAAAGATTAATCTTGTTAATATTCTTTTCAAAAATGAAGCATTCAAAATGTTTTAGAAGTACTGTAAACACAGGATTTTCAATGGATTTATTCTATTTTTCATGATCCAGAAAAACAGAGGAAGGAAGCAAAAACCTACTTAGAGTGTTTGCAATTGGGCCTTCCATATGACACAGATTATCATTTAGGTAAAGTCAAGCTTCAGAAACTATTCCTAACCTAATTGGGCTGAGGTATTCAATAGAGATTTACACTACAGAGAGGAAAGCCTGTGAATTGCAGCCCAAGAAAAGCTTATATTATCTACCCGAGCTGTTCCCTCAGCAATAGCCAGGGAAATAGGAACCCCTAGAGGTTAAAGATTTAAGAATCATTTGCAAAAACCTCCCTTTCCCCCTCTGATAATCTGAGTATATGATCAGCTGTGAGAAAAAGGAAATTTCATTACTATACATTTTAATAATAAATATAATGTTTCTTCTTCATAAGAAAAAGGGGTTTTTCTCATGTTCTCATGCATTTGAATATCCATAATATTGTTTTTTACATGAAGAATTCAGTTAAGATATAAATGCTAGTTGTTTTGCCATTTTATTAAATGAGTTGCTTCTCTTCAGCCTTATAATGCCTTCTTTGCTGCAGTAAAATGGATTATGACTGAACTTGTCTTGTAAGTAGATTTTATCAAGAACTTAATGAATATTTGTATGGATTACTGAATATTTGCACTTTTGACATACATTTTACATACATTGTGCTTTTTTTATTATACAACTTCAAGTGTAGTAATGTTCGTCAGAGTTATTTTTCCAATTTTGAATTCTGAAAATCTGATACAATTTTGGCTATATAAATGCACAGTTTCACTTTTATTGCATGGTCTTCGCTTATATCTGCATGTCTTTGCTTAGCAGATCACAATATACAGCCCAAATTTAGTTATGTGGTTACTGTTAAATTTTAGATAAATGGCTGGCTATCTGTGATGCTGCTTGGGTGGGCTGTTGTCAGTAGAGAAACCTCTTTACACTGACTCACTGTATTGTTTGTCACTTCATAAAATTCTGTAAGATGAACTTTTGACAGTACATGCCAGATAAGGTGCTCTCTCGATGTTGCTGAATTGTTTTATCTCTGCTAATTCTTGTAACATTCCCAGCTAATTCATAATGATCATTACCTTTAAGAGAGGATGCCTAAAAAATAACAAAGGAATATTACATGGCGAGGAGGAAGCCTTAAAATGTGTCGTGTTTTTAACATACATGATTTGTTATCATTCTTATCAAAAAGCAGAGCTATAGTTCTGAGTGAATTTTATCTTTATTGAAATAGAACTGGTTTTTTTCTTGTAGTCATTTTCTTTAATTGTAAATTGTATAAGCTTTCATTAAAGTTCAGAAAAAGAGTTGAAGAGATTTAACTAAGTGGCTACTGCCAGAGGGCAGAGATTGATCTTAAATGCAGCTTTCAAAGTAAATAGAAGGGAAAAAATTGTGTTAAAATGAGACTGATGCTTCATATGACAGGTTCAAAAATTTCAAGACACTTTCTGTGCTTATAAGTCTTGTACATTCACGGGCATATGATGAACTCAATGTTGGTTTTACGTTCTTTACACTTAAAATAACTGATTGACACTTCTCTGTCCATTCTTCCAAGTAAATCATAGTATATTTAAGTGGGAAAATGCCTTCTTTACAATTTAGTTAGAATTGATTAGACAGTGGTTAATCAGTCTTTTCTGCTCTTAGAAACAAAATAGCTTTATTATTTCAGTTGGCAAATAAATAAAAGAAAGTATTTTATGTGTATTCCTGCCTTGTAGCCTGGACAGTTCTAGTCCTGTGGTGTTTTACCAGAGTCAAAATACCTGCGCAATGAAGAAATAATGTTCAACAGTAAAAACAGTATATGCTGCCATGCATTGAGAATTTAATTGGCACTTCAAATAAGATCAATATTTAAATTAATAATAGCTAAATCTATGATTTATTGATAGGATTATTTTCAGAATAAGTTCTCAGAGGTAAAATGCAACCCAGTGAAAATATGAGAATAGCAGTAGTTCCTAATCCCAGAGTTACAGTAACATGAGTTACAGTTCTATTTTAGCTCTTATTTAAAATAGGATTAACATTATCAAACTACTGCCAGTTTAGTGTTTTGAAAACATGCTGTGAGATACTGAAAACTGCAAAAATTTCTCTAGGTTCCTTGTGGAATTTAATCTATGCAGTTGGTGGCACTCCGATCTAACAGCAAAAGGTAAGTTGTTTTTTTTTTTTTTTTTCCAGACATGATGGCAGAAATGTCTAGGTTAAATTGGATTTTTGAAATTTGGATGTGCATAAACTGTTTTAGATTAAATAATAAACATCTGTTATTAATAGTTTGTCTCCCATGTCAGCATTCTCTTTTTTTGTTAACGTTTCCTAAAACACGAGAGAATTAAGATTTCCTATGAATAAGCACAAAGTGCTTTTGTGTACTCTAGGAATACAGTGCACTGCTATAATGGAAAAGCTAAAATAGTAGATAATGATCAAATATATTTTAAAAAAACATTTTCTTTCATTCCAAAACAATCCTTGCAAATAAAACAATTATTATTGTGCTGGAAAATGCCTTTTTAAAAAAAGTCTACAGGAATATGCCCATCTCAATATATTTTCATACAAAAATAATTTTTAAGGATTAAGACAAATTTTATGCTGAGCAAGACTGGTTAAAACTGTATTTTTGTTTTATGACTCCATTCAAATATACATTTAAGTGAATTAAAATTCAGTTTACTCAAAATAATTTTTAACATGTGGAAACTTCATTTGAAATCATGGAATTTTAATAGTTCTCATAAAAATGGGAAGTTTTCAGTGTAAGCTGTCTGTTAGATTTTAGCAGACATTTTTATGGCATTTTCAGAAGTTGCTCGGAAGTAAAGGGCTAATTCACTGCTCTTCAATTGATGATTTCACAGGCAAATTGTGCTGGTGTAATGATTTAAACTGAATTCTTCAGTCTCTTATTTGCACATTCCTTAGCAAAGCAGGGGATAAAATTGCTGCTTTAGGCTTCAGTTGATATTTACATTGCCTGGTATCCAGGCAAAATCATATCCTGTCTGAAGTTTAGGTATCAGGAAAATTGAACATTCTGATGCCCTGGAATAATCCAGTATTCCCTGGAATAATAAAATACTCCTAGTATAAAATTTCTATTCTAGAGGACCCAGAAATTATTGGCAAAGCACACACCAGGCTACTGCCTAATGCGTGGTAAATGCTGTGTAGAGGGACAGGGAGGCTGAGAAGGGTGTCTGCTGGAGGTGAGGGTTTGGTAAGAACCTCCTGAAAATTTAGGTACATGAACTTACTCCAGCCTTTCCCACACTGCTGTGAACTGCACAGTGCACGGCAGCTCTGGAGCTGCTGCTTCTGTGACACCAGCAATGAGCATGATGTAGATTGGATGCACACACACAGATAGAGCTTCGTGGGAACCTGCCAGACACTGCTTGCTTTGGGGACTGCTTTGTGACCAGCAGTGCCTACACAGGTCTCCTAAAAACCAGGACTGACTTCCCAGTGATTTCCCTAATGATGAAAAGTCTCTGACACTGATGGCTGTGAGGGACAGTCAGGCTTGCTGTGCTAGACCCAGAACATGCAAAACAGTTCCTTGTATCTGAAGAGGACCAGTCCTTGGTGTTTGCAGACCAGCACAAAGCAGCCACTGTAGGAAACAAATAACTTTTGGGGATTTTTTTTTTTTCTGTACAAATATGCCTCAGTATATCCTGACATGAAGCGTTCAATGGCACTTGCGTTGTATGTTAGGAAAAATAAGTTTCAAAAGTAACATCCCTCTTCATCTCATGAGAATGAATGTCTGATTTGTAGTCAGAGTGCACTAACTACAGATGAGGCATTAAAAACTGGCAAATTTGCTTTTCTTAAAAACGAAACTGTCGCTGCAGCACTTTGATGAACAAGCATGAGTGAGGAATTCCAAGTTTTAGTTGACAGTAAAGTGTTATTTACACAAGTCACTTGCTCCATTTCTTTGATGAGTAAGAGTATTGAAAATACCCCCTCATCATTGGGATGTCATAACCTTTATGATATCTCTTGCCCAGCTTATGCTTGGTTAGGTAGCAACAGATAGCTGTTTGGAAACCAGCGTGTTTTAGTAAAGCAAAGGCAAGAGATATTTCACAAGAAAGCAGGAGAAAAAAAGCACATGCTTAGGAGTTTTAGGTTATATATATACATATATATATATATAATTAGGTTTTATATATATATATATATATATATATACACAGAATACCAAATTCTTCTATAGATGTAATGTTACCACTAAGAGTTTTATTATTTATGACTGCATTTAATGAAATTAAAATTAATAAATTTACACTTTTTTTTTTCCCTGAACCATACTTTACAACACTCAGAAAAAAAAATTGCTTCCCACTCAGTTTGTGACATTAATGGTGTATCACATACTATGAAAGTCCTAGAGGGTCCTCACACACCTGCCCATTTACCAAACCCCACCCTGAAAAGTACTTCTGCAGGAGATCTTGTAGTCTTAATCACATTTGTAAATGAGAGATAAGAAACCCTACACCTTGGACTTTCCCATCATCTTCTGGACCCTGGAGAGGTGCTGGAAATCTGAGACCCATAAATCATGGGCAGTCTCTTTGTTACACTGACCATATGTTGATGAAAATAAGGGTAGACCCAAAACACAGGTGATAAATTCCAGTCATTCTTTACAGCAGATAAGGGGAACAGAAGAGAAAGGGAGAAGATACAGTAGAGCTAGTCAGACAATTTAAAAAAAAAAGCTTAATTGTTAAATATGTCACAACCATAGTGAAAACTTCCAAAATAACAAAACTTTTCTGACCAACTTTAGTACCTCGTTTGAGATCTGTGCATTTGGTGGAATAATTTTTTTTTATTATATACCAAAGCTGCGAACAGGTCAGAAATGCACGTCCTGCTGTGTGATTGCAAATGCAGTTGTGGTGGTTCCCTTGCACTGCACAGTGGATGCACCACTCACCCTGAGACAGATTATCTCCAATGGAAGATCTGTCCAGCCCAAGAGCCTGTTTAGTGTATTCTATTTTTGTCATACCTCATCTTGTCATCTCACTTAGTAATTAGTTTAAGATAGGTTTAACATTTGTGCTGATGTGCAAGTATATCTCTCTTTTAAGGAACAATGAAGGTTTGGGGAGGAAAAAGAAAGGGAATGAGGGAGAGGCGTGATCTGACAAATAGTTCAGCGGGAGAGTCAGAGGAGCTGCCTTTAGTTCCCAGCTTTGCTGCTGTCCTGTAGTTTGACCTTGAACCAGTCTCACTGCTTTCTGGTACCTCAGTATCCCAATCTTTAAGACATAAATAGTAACTCTTTCTTTTTCCTGCAAGGGCTTCAGACTAAAGGGTCTTAATAATTAGTGTTTTTGGAAGCAGATGACGTTGGAATTGGTTAAAGTAACTCTTCTACCTCCCCCACCCACAGAGTTATTGTAGCTGATGAAACCCTGCAAAGATTCCCAAGCTGTAATTGAAAAAGAAGTGCTTTGGCTTCAGTAAAATATACCAAACTTTTCATCAAATAAATGTAAATTCCTATGAATAAAGGTTAGTGATGCACAGCACCACTGAGATAAAGACAGTAAATCCAGCTTGAATCTACACAGAAAGAATGAAAACTTGTGCATAAATGTAAAGTGGGTTGGCAAAGGCTAAACCATTAATAACTACTTTAATAGTAATGTCTTGCAAAATTACATTCCATGGATAAACTTTTTTTTTTAATTTAATTGAAAAAAAATAGTTTTATGCACTGCCTAGGAAATCTCACAGGGTGGCAGAAGCTGAGTAACATTTCCGTTCTCTGTGAGCTCCGTAATACAGCATCTCATGTTGTTCCCAACTTTGTGTGCTGTTCTTCCCGTGTTAACATCCAGATATTTTTTTTTCCTGTGCCTATAGCGCAGAGGTTGAAACAAACCCTAGAGCCCTGTGACACTGAATATCCAGCTTTTGTTTCCGAACGCACTATAAAGGAGACCACGGGGAATATTGCTTGCGATGACTGTTTCAAGTAAGCCCTTTCAATTTATTTTTTTTTTTATACAACTGTTTGTGACAAAGCAATAAAACTGAATTATTCAAGGCTGTGTTGAAGAATGTACAGGTCTGTTATGTTTTGTATTATGTAATGACCTCTGTCAGGGTGTCATTTCTCTTATTACAGGGGTCATTTAAAAGTTTGATGCTCTTAAATTAAAGCGCTACCTATTATTTTCTGCCAAAAAAAAAGTAAAACCAGTGCAGACTTATGTTAATTTCAAATCGTGAATGCTTTAAGACTTTTCCTATTTGCAAGCAGCATTCTAAGGAAGTTGTCTGTAAGATTTAGATGCAAAAAGGTAAGTGCTGTTCAGTCTCCTCAACAGGAGTGAAACCCTGCTGGATAGGTTAGGAGTTCCCTTGTGGTACAGTGCGATCTGGTTGTTTTACTGCGTTGCCAAATAGAGTTTCCTTCTCAGAATTATTGGGCTGAAAGAGTGGGAGAGGATTAAATCCATTCTCCAAGTGTTCAGTGCTGGGAAGCTGAGTTAATAGTAACAAATCTCACATGTCAGTGATGCAGTCTTGTCGGCTCTGCCAGTGCTACTGTAAAATCATCCCTCATAGGGTTAAGAGAAGAGAAAGACTTCAGTCTAGCTTTCCTCCTTCACAATTGGAATGTCTTTTCTCTGCATTTGGTGCCTATGTGCAGTGACATTTTGACTGTAGTCCAGGTAGATTTTAATGGAAGAATTGCATAGGTATTGTTTATGCAAATGTCTGTGCTTTGAGAAGTCTCTTAATTGGATTTCCTTTATGCTGAGTAGGTTGTCATCATAAAGGAGATTAGTATTTAAGCAATAATGTGTCTATCAATATAAATGTCAGGAGGAATTTATAAGGTAAACAAAAATTATTATAACCCTCTCTCTTTCCAGGCTAAATCAATATGCAATTAGCAAATAAAGGTGAAAACTCTGCCACTTTGAAGTCAATAGGTGTGCTTCTGGACTTACTCCTATTTTTTTCTGCTTGATATTTTCAATACATTAAAACAGGAAATGGGAGTAAGTACAATGGAGATAAATTTTAAGTGCTAATACTCACTTTTGATTTGCTACTGACCAATGTTTAAGTATGGGAAAATTGTTAATGTCTAGTATGAATAATTGGGTTTATATGGCTTTGTGGGATAGAAGTATGAGAGTGCTTTGTAAATTGATGCTTGGGAGCCCTTTAAGTGTAACAATGGGTCCCACTGCCTGAAAAGTACAAACTCAACAAAATCAAGCCGTGCTTTTTCCACTTGACATATCAAATACAATGTAGGTTAGACTGCTGTGAGTGCTTTGCGCCAGCATTGTAGAATTTAAGCTGCCTTATTTTTTGATAATTTAACACAAGACTACTGAGAAGTTGTGCAAAAAATTATTGTGCATCCCTTGAGGTGTTCAAGACCAGGTTGGATGGGGCTTTGAGCAATCTGGTATAGTGGAAGGTGTACCTGCCCATGGCAGGGGGTTGGAATTGGATGATATTTAAGGTCGCTTCAAATCCAAGCCATTCTATGATTCTGTTTAAATATTGCAAACAGACGTGATTCCATGGAAGGAAGATTAATTTAGCAGGACTAGGTTTTCTCAAAGGAGTGCAGATTCTAGTCTTGTTCTTAGGTAACTTCAGGTCAAAGAAACAAGTTTCAAAAATAATACAATTCTGCAATACTTGGAAAGCACCAAGTTGGAAACTGAGTTTAGTGAAAATTATAGTATTTCAAAAATAATGCACTAAGATCTTTTTCATAGAAAAACATTTTGTGTTCCACAGTGGAAAAAAAAATAAAAGAAAACCCTGTAAGTTACAAACTGATCTCAAGGCACCCATTACTTCTCTCCACAAGCAGTGGCAAAACCTAAAGAAATAATCCAGAAGAACTATTAGATTCTCATGGGAAAATTGTTCGTTTTACCATTTACCCACTGTCATTAACAATCTACAAATTGCATCTAAGATTGCAGACTGCATTGGATTCCAAATATTTTTGTTATAACCCAGGACATTTTCCCGCAGAACAGCTCAGGAATTTGACCCAAAGTCCTTTGTAGACCTACATCTTCTGACCCAGTTTTCCGTTTCATGGCTTCAGTACCAATAAATATTTTTACAAGCAAGTGTATTGCTTAATATTTGTAATTTAAGAATGATGGGCTCAATCAGTCACAATTTAGGTTCAATCTTACATGCAGTGACTCTGGCACTGACACTGTGTCCAGTGGTTAATCTGTGCAGCATCTGTTGCATACCAGGCTCTGATTCAGATCCCTTTGAGTCAGCGGGATTATTTTCTGTGTCCTGCTTGGATCACGTTATAGATTAATCTATGATATATAATTGCAAATATTTATTCCAAATAGAAAAAGATACTTGTAAATATTTAGCTGATTATACACCCCCTGGAATATTGAAAACCTATTTGAAAGGCACTAGGAAAGTCAGTGTATTGTGAACAGGTTTGCAAACAAAAGTTGTGCAAGTGCTCTGCTTCAAGTAAGTTGTGTCAAAAATTACTCAAATCACTGACTTTTGTTCCTACAGTGTCAGGCACTGCCACAGAGCCCTTGTCTGCAAAAGGAGACTTTAAGCAGTCTTTTAGCAGAAGTAAAAGTGATGACTGATACTGCTTGAAACCATAACCTGTTACTTAGATAAGGCATTTTGGTGCACAAATACTGCGGTTTTGCTAACAAGGTCACACGGTGAGAGCCCGAGGCTCAGTTTTATTCTGTCCTGGGTGAGCTGTTACTGATCTTATAGAAATACTCTGCACCTCAGTTGCCAAAGTAAACAGTCACCAACTATAGTAATGAAAACTTTCTCTTATAAATGCTTCCAATCATAAATTTAATCATGGGTGCTTGGATTTAAATCAAAATGTCCTCAAATAAATGACACAGTAGAAAGGGCTACATGCTAATTACTTTGTTAATAAGTGGCTCACCTTTTCAGCCAGCTCAGGAACCTTAGTCAATAGAAGGGCACCTATACACTTAAGCAGGCTTCGAGTCAGGCACTAAATATATACAGATATATAAAATCCACTCTCTGTATGTAAACTTATCTCTTACTAGCAAAACATAAATGCTACTTTGGGATAAATTGCAATGTTTAAAACTGATTTTCAAAAATATAGGTTTTATTAAGAAAGCAGGAGCCTGAAAGAAAATAAGAATTAACATAAGAATGTCATTAGGGTCAGGGTTTGGCTACCCCACCCTGTAATTTGTTGTTATTCAATATCCCAATGATTATTAAATTAATCTGTTATTTAAACAGCAACAAAAAACAAGTCAACCCACATTTTCTAAGCACTGTCAACAAGAGAGAAAAACTAGGATTTTTAAAAAATCTGAAATGCTTTCATATTTTCCAGTAAGCTATTCTACTTTATAACAAAAAAAAATTAAAAAACTAAACCCCATTATTTCTGAAAGATCATAGACTAGACTATTGAATGTCATGTCCCAGCTTCAATGCTAGAAATAGTGATTGACTAAAGAGAAGTATTTTTTCTTTATCAATGTCAACTGGCACTCTGTGGAGTCAGAGCTACACTAATGCACTTAGTATGGGCGTTAAAGGTGTTGTGCTGCTCAGAGATGTGTTTTTGATTAGACATTTAGTTTGAAGTCTTTGGCTAAATAAGCATCTCAGTGCTGCTTGTAGTTTTATGAGGTATTACCTCAACATGATAGCCAATTTTAAATGTAAGTGTGTCAACCAAAGTTCTTCAGCAATGCTCACTGGTTACATTACCAGTTTTTGCCTTCTGGTGATCTCATCATTGCAAATTTTAGTTGTACTGAAATTGTCTAAGGAAACCATCTTAGAAAGTCAAAGTTGTTGTTGTTATATATTAGAAGGGATGATGGCTGTTATGATATTTGACTGGAGAAATTCAGATGATATTTTATTATATCCTCTCATTTGTTTGCAGAACAAACAAAAAATTTTTGTCTACTTGCAAATCTTATTTATGTCTGAAAATTCAAATGTTTTCATTAAACTTCATGTAGGAAAATACTATTAATTTCAGCTATAACTCTGGCTGCCTATAGATCTTCTGTAGGCACAGCAACTTACTCATCTGACTACTTTTACTCTAAGTATATGTGTTAAAATTTCAAAGATGCAAGGAACCAGTTGAGTGCATCATTGCCACATATGTGTGTTCACTGTGAAAACGATGGGTATACAGATCATGCAGCAGTTGCACATTCAAAAGCTTAAAAATTTACCCTTTTAACCTCTGCTGTTCATGTGTGATGACATATTGGACTTGGATGAAGACCAAAAATCTGGCCCTTTTTCCAATGGCCCAGGGAGCAAAGCCCCCTTTTCTTTTAATTGCAGCACTTGTGGGTCCACAAGGTCAATACAGAAACCCCCAAGAAACTGCTTTGTTTCCAGTTGATTCTTTGTGCACAATCATAGGACACAAAATAAAGAGAAAAGTAAATATAAGAAAGACATATTCTCACAAGGGAAGCAGGGAAGTATGTGGCTACAATCATCCTAACCCTGGGAAAGATTTATGTGTGTTTTAATTATGGAAGATGAATGTGTTTACTTTGTTGGCTATCACATGTAAATTGCCTGTTAAAATGGATAGGAACTACTTATTTGAATAAACACTGTCCCATATATTATGTCTTTGGCCCGTTGGGGTGTTAGTAAGCAGACATTTATTTAACAAGGAAAACCATCAATAAACCAAATTACTTCTCTTACTTTCTTACAGGGCATTGAATGCTGTTTATTGTCAATAAAAGAGGTAAACAGGAATGGAACTGTAGTTCAGGGTGACACTGAACCCTTTATGTGGATTTATAATGGCAAATTTTAGACTTGTCCACTAAATGAGCAGATTTGGCAGTAACAGATAAATAACAATAAAAATTAGATTCAGATTGTTCAGGGCATGAGTATATTAGTGTCAGGAATAGTGCAATCTGCAGACATTAAAGTGGTAAT